ATCCGCACGGGTACGGTGTACGTGAACTGCTACGACGTGTTTGACTCGAACACTCCGTTCGGTGGCTTCAAGGACTCGGGTATCGGCCGCGAGAATGGTGAGCTGGGTCTGCGCAACTACTTGGAGCACAAGACGGTGATCATCAAGCGTCCGGAGGACTCGATGCCCTAAGCAACTTTCTCGTTGATGTTTAGTAACTGTAACGTTAACAACTTCTCCAATGCAGCATTCGCGTCGAACTTTGGCATTACTCTTTGAAGATAAGATGTCGTTGATATAGCGCGTAGGAAGAGACACGACGTCGTACAGCAGTCTGTAAGGAGTAGTACGGCTTTATAATGTTGAAAAGTATATGTATGAAGCACTAGTAGACGTAAGGTGTATCTGATTGGGTGATATTATTATATTATTGCAATGGGCGGTTAGCACTATGGAATGTAAACAGTGCCCGCCAAATCATTAAGACCCCCGATTTGGCGGGACACTTCTGACAATATCTCGGCTTCTAGCCTGAGTTGGGAGCTGCTACTTTGATATGTTCTCTCTATTAGGCTTACAGAGGTGCCACTTGTATTAACAACTTAGATTTCAATGTATCTGACAGGGCTGGTATACAAATTCAAGGTTTGGGCACCAGCGTCAAATTATTAAAACCACATCCTTTTTATGACGAAAAATAGCACTTTTATGAACAGACCATACAAACTTATATATTAAAAGAGTGATGGTCAAAATAAGCAGATGGTTGGTGGAAACGAGCGGGTAGCTAGAGGCTAATGAGGCTGTGAGCCTTTCATTTTCAGAAGGACCACGGCAAGCCCTCTCTGAAGAAGAGCACTGGTTTATCGTCGGTCTCCACGGTGGAGGCGTCTCTCTGCACGAGATCGCTAGGAAGACAGGTCGGTCCCGTACGTCCGTCCGGAACGCAGTCAAGGCGGAGTGGGGACCGAAAGAAGACAGCGGTGGAGAGCGAAGGGCTGGGCGGCAACCAGCACTGACGGAACGAGAGCTGCGGCATCTTGTGCGTGCCGCGGCGACAGGCGAGTTCTTCGCCGCGGAGCTCAAGACCAAGATCGGCATCAAGGCGTCCGTGAGGACGATCCAGCGGGTTCTGCGGCGTGTGGACCATCTGGTTTTCACCAAGATGGACCGCACGCTCCCCCTCACGACAGCGCACAAGGTTGCCCGTATGCAATGGGCGAAAGAGTGCATACTGAAGCCAGGTAAGCTTGTCATATTAAGGTTTTGCTGCTATTTCGTATTCTAACAATATTTGCTTTCTTTAGAAACTTGGATTTATACATTTTTTCAGATGAAAAGAAGTTTAATCCAGATGGTCCTGACGGAATCAAATATTACTGGCGGGGCATGCGCCAGCCAGCACAGTCTTATCTGCGTCGCCAAAATGGCGGAGAGAGCGTCATGATGTGGGGCGCTTTTAGCGCAGCAGGTAAGAGTGAGCTGGCCGTCTTGCGTGGGCGTCAGAATTCAGGTGACTATATTTACACGTTATCCGAATATCTACTTCCTTTTGCTCACGCTAACTACGGTGTTGACTTTGTATTTGAGCAATTCTTGCAGGAGATGCAACTCAACACCATGGTTTGGCCAGCTCGCTCGCCTGACTGCAACCCCATCGAGAACGTCTGGTCGGCGATGGCGGACAAATTGTACGCACATGGCCGCCAGTATCAAAACGTTGCTGATCTGGAGGCAGCAGTCATGGCCGCATGGGATTAAGTTCAGCTAGACTACTTGCTGAAGCTGATAGAGTCCATGCCTCGCCGCTGTCTAGCGGTGATCAAGAAGAAAGGAAGAAAGCTGGACTGACTAAGTACTAACTTTTAATATATAAGTTTGTATGGTCTGTTCATAAAAGTGCTA